GTCAGTTGACTAATACAAATAATAATTTCGATCTTCTTAACCAGGCCCACAATTTCCAGACGGGACAATTGCAAACATGTCAAGCTGATTTACAAGATTGGCGTAGAAAGCATGTAAAGAGGAAGGGTAAGCATGTCAAGCAAAAGGCGAAGCATAAAAAATGGGAAAATAAGGAAAAAGATTCCTGGCTAAGAATAATAAATTTAAATCAGCAAATTTTAACGCTTCAGAATAACCTGCAAAATATGACAGCTATAGGTGACTTAACTGGTATTACTCCTTTACTTGCAAATGTTGAATTTTATGATGGACAGGTTCAGCCCGATGAATGGTATAATAAAATCCATGCTATACTAGCTATTCCTGCGATAACAAATCTCAATGATGCCAATAAAGTGGCTATTTTAAAGGGTAGACTTGGCCGAAAATATGCGGATGTTCCCGATCAACATGCAGGAAATAATATTGATACCCCAGCTTGTTTTATTGTCTGGCTACGTTATAAATATCAGACAGAAACGATTGGAACACAACAAGTTGCTCTCCAGAGGCTAGCTTACGAAAAATTTTTACCTAATGATACACCAGAAACATATGAGACTAGGATACGTCCTTTATTATTAGGAGTTGCTAATAACGATGCTATTGCCTTGTCATTCCTTATGAATCATTTGCCTGATGAGATTTTCAACCGAATGGAAAGTGCAAATCCTGCAGATACCGATGCATTTTTCACCAATCTTAAGAATTTATGGCTCAAACGTAGACCTTCTTCATTTAATTACGGAAATGCAAATAGTATGAATGGAATGACATTTCAACCACCTCAGCAGATCGTTCAACAGCCTACATTCCAACCGCCTCAGCAAATCATACAACATCCTACGTTTCAACCGCCTCAACAAATCGTTCAACAACCTGCATTTCAACAGCCAGAATCTCAACTATTTCAACAAAATTATTGTCCCAAAACTGAGAAAGCCAGGTATTATGAAGAGTTAAAGAATTATGTGGAAATGGGTCTCAAAGTTGAAGATAACAGAGTACTAGAACCGATGGAAATTGATTACGCAATTATCAACCTTGCAAATAAATTAGATCAACCTGAAGGATTGTCCAGCTCCCCAAATCCGTCAATAAATATGGTCAGAACCCCTAGAGTAAATACTAGACCACCCTCACGAAAATGCGAAATTTGTAAAAAGCTAGATCATACTTATCGCAGTTGTCCCATAATTAAGAATATGATGGTTAATAATTCTAGAAAAAGAACCGGTCGTGTGAATTTTGCCGATGGGTTCCAACAAAGCCACTCTGATACAGAAGAAGTCCCCAATGAATCTGTTATTTCCGATCAAGAAGATGATAATATATCCGATGGAGATTCCAATGTTGATGTAGACAGAATAAAAAAAAAATAGAGCAACCTAAGCAGGTACTCAATATGACGTCCTCACAAAAGCAAATTCCAAAACGATCCAATGAAAAGAAAGATATATATTCTACAGAGGATAAGGGGAATCGAATCCCTCTTCAAGGATCGCAAAAACCCACTTCGACTTTACTAGAGGGATGGATGTGTGAAATCATTCAAAGTGAGCTTGTAAATTCCACTTTATTAGAGGAAGCTATAAGCAAAATCTTACGAAATTTTCAGAAATCTAGTACCGCAAATGATACACTCCAACAAAGCGAGACTGAAGATGAAGAAGTTGTCGAAGATATGGAAATTAACTTTGTTCAAGATAAAGATGTGATAGATGTTCCAACTGTGAAGGGTAAAATCAAATGTCTAGTACTTTTGGCAATTACAGTCGATCCTGGCTCAAACACTTTACTTATGTCTAGGGACATTGCCGAACGCTTGGGTTTAAAAATCGATAAAAGTACTACTCATTATTTCAAGGGGGCGGTCACTGTTCTGACCAAATCTATTGGAATGGTTTATAATGTACCGTTAACCCTAGCACCCAGCTGTGTATTTCATTTAGATTTTGCAGTCATTGAATATGACAAGTCTATGGTTATATTGAGTAATCCCTTCCTTAAAAAACATGATTGTGCGATGGATTGGGCTAAATCCGAAATGAAGCTTCATTGCAATGGAAAAGATTTCATCATCCCAGTTACTATGCATAGAGTTGAAAATAAGCTTGAGGTACATCACGTTAATGCAAATCCATCTATTTCTGAAGAGACAGATACAGAGTTAAAAAAAAATGCATGAATTGCGAGAATAAGTCAAACCGTGAAAAAGAACTTGAAAAGGCATTATTCACCAGTATTCAATCAGTTTCTGAAATAATGGGGTATTATAATGATTTGCGTGATCAATATAAAACAGAAATTGATTTTACACTTACGAGCCTAAGGAACAGATAATTTAGAGGCAAGAATACGACCACTTGCTCTAATCTTTTCTATCTCTTTTTGGTTTCTCTTATGTAATTCCAAAACATCTTCAGTCTCTTGCGAGATAACAGGTGGTATAGTTTCTTTCTTTGCTCCTGAAATTCCACCTAGCTTTTCTATCTCATAGAGTGAGGATGTTACCGCATCTAGTTCTTTATTAATAAGAGGCTGATCAGAAATGTGAACAGACTTGGATTTGGATTTCCTCTTTTTTGTCTGCCTATCTGAGGTATTATTTTCAGGAGAAATGGTGCTTTGTATCTGAGTTGATTGGGAATGTATCATTTGTTGTTTACGCAAGGGTAAACCTTGTGCGTGCCTTTTCCAAATTTCATATATTCGACGAGTTGAAGTATAATATTTATCAGCCATTTTTTTGGATGCATTCTTAACCGTCCCTCGAGATTGTATAATTTCTTCAAGTGCTTCTGGAGATAAATAAGGTGTACCTGCACGATAATATTCCGCAGTTATATGTTCCATCCTTTTTTACAATTATAGAAAAAATTCGAAAATGATCGAAAATGACTAAAAATGATTGAAATGCTAAAATTGGTATATACTTATCATTAAAAAAAAATAGCGATAATTTTAGGTAATTATATATTTGATTTGCGATAATTTGCAATAATTCTCAAAAAGAACTGGTGTTTATCTAATATTTTTGAAATAATAATTTTCGAAAGGAACTGGTGTTTGCATTCATGATTTTCTATGTATTTTTATTCTGGAAAAAGGCTCATAGGGGGCGAGTATAACTCATGACATAGAATGCCTCATCAAATAGGTATGCCAAATTAACATTAATATTCTTTATGTATATATCCCATATTTTGTTATATTTTATAATATGGCCAAGGTGCGTACATTGCAAGATACCAAAAGTATGGAATCGAAAAAAATACAAGGGCAGGGGTATAGGCTTGGCAGTGTCTGCGAACAAGAACTTGAGGATGCATCACGTGTTAGTAGTAAGACCAATTCTGAACTCATTGATGATTTCAAAAATCTCCAGGTGGTATATTCAAAGTTTAGTAAAAATATCAAACAGGAGAATGCTCAATTACAACGCAATTTGAAACAGGCTGATACAGATATTCAACAAATTCGCTCCCATGCTCTACAACTTATATCTGAAATCAAGCGATTGAGGAAAGAAATATCTGTTCACAAATTGCAAAATAACCGCCAGCAGATTGCAATGAATGATTATAATATCAAGTTGCATGATATACAAAATGCTTTATCGGAAAAATCAAAAGAAGCAAAATCGCTCCAAACTAAGGTAAAGAAATTGGGGGGTAACCTGACTTCAGCTCAGAAAAACTCATCCATGAAAGAGGAAACAAAGCTTCGAATCTCCGATCCATCTGAGGTCTTGTTCCTCAAATATAAATTAGCTGAATTGGAGCAAATGAGAGATGAATTATCCTTAAAAGTTAGCGAGCTGGAGAAACTGAAATTGGAAGCCACACCTCAATTTTCGTCTGCAGTTAGCGAAGGTGACGAAAAAAATGTTAATTTCTAGCCACCCTGTGACTGCCTTCAGCAATGATACTTCTGTCTCATAAAGTGATGCTCCCGCATCTAATAAACCTAAGCTAGATTTTAGTAAGTTTTTAAAACGTAGAAATAATATGGATATGGATCAGACGGAAAGAATTGATGCACACCAATCCAGTGATATCATAAATAAGGTTAACGATGAAGCAAAACCTCAAATACCTGATTCTTTGAGATCGACTAATATGAAGTCTTCTACCAGTGAAGATAGTCATGCTGATAACTCACAAATAGTAGAGACTAAAGATTTTTCAGAAGATACCGTTTCTAAAACCGATTTCATTGGAAATGATCAAAGCCACTCAATTAAAACAGAAATGGCTGAGATATTGCCTGTTGGAATAATACCTATTGTAGGGAATAATCTATTCTCACCTAAGTTTATGTATGCAATGCTCGCTCTTTTAATAATTGCGGTAATATGGTTGGTCATTGTGAAACCCATATGAGATACAAGAAAAAAAGATACAGCTCATACTCTATTGTATCATTAATATATAGATTACATTATTATAGTGTGATTTATGCCACGCGATTTTAGATCCTTAAGCGCATTGTTCATCATTTTTACTGCTTTTTTTTCCTCCTCTATATCAAATGGTTCTTTCAACAAAAAGCAGAGATCATCAAGAGTTAATTTTCTATAATCGTCTAATAATAAAGCAGGTCCTGGAATAAATATTCCATCTTGCCCTATCCGTTGACTTATCAAACGAGTTGCTAGTGGATTTACAGGTAGACCTTTGCTCTGACCATCATCGTCACAAAATAAAATCAAATCAAAGCCTTTTGGTCCGAAAATTGTTACGTGATCACTATAATCACTTTGCAGTATCTTACAAATGTCTCCTTTTTTAACATTAACTTGTTTTATTTCCGGAGGGCCACATGCAGGTATGTATATTCCTTGAGAAACTTCTTCCATAATTAGCTAATATAATCTAGTCAACTTGGACAATTTTAAATGTGAATTCTAATGAAGGTTTTGTGTTGAGTAAATAGCTTTGTATACAGAAAATAAAAGCATGAAAAAATTTGATATGGTGGTACATCAAAGTAAGAACCATTTTTCAATAGTATTTTTTGATAGTAACCGGGATTATACGTGAATCAAGTAGCTGAAAATTTATTACCTATTTGAATCTAAAAAGTTTTGATTCTACAATGAACTTCAAACCTCTGTCTCATCGAAAAGTATATTAAGTTCGTAATCTATAGGATTAATCATTTCCTCTATTTCATATTCCGACCAGGGATGCAACCACCCACTCTTATTAACATGATTAATACGATTTAGTACATCGCCTCTTTCTCTTTTTCTGATTAATTTATTTCGTAACATGCATCCTTCTACTTCTACTAGTTTATAGAAGGATTCATTACATTTCCCATCTAAAAATCTCATTTTGTTGTTGTGTTTTTTATAGTCATCAGTATCCATGCAGTCGCTAAATCGCCTACCCTCTTCTTCCCAACATTGTTCTTTAAGCTGTATCTCCATATATCTTACTGATACTGTTCTCCAATATTGATTTTTAAACTTTTCGCGCCTCATATGCAATTCAAGTTTCACTTCCTTATTCCAAATATGATTAATGCATAAAGCTATACTAAGACTAACCAATGGGAGTTTTTGAACGATTATTGCAATTGTATCCGGAAGCAGAAATGGATTATATGAATGCATGTTATAGACGCTTTATAACTAGGTACGTGAGCGGAACAAAGAGGTATAAATTACATATATAGAAAATTCAAAACTTTAAGTAAAAATTTGTGTGATGGAATTATGACGCAAAAGCGTGAAATTTTTCAAATCGGTAGTACGCAAAAGTAAGAATAAAATTTTCAAGGTATTTTTTTCCAAAGTATTTATTCGGTAGTATGTAAAGGTAAGTACATCAAAGAGAGAAATTTTTACAGGAATTTTTTGATGCAAAAGTATGATCAAATTTTTTGATTCGGTAGTACGTCAAAGTATGATCCGATTTTTTACAGGAATTTTTCAAATCGGTAGTACGTCAAAGCTTAGACCAATTTTTCAATAGTACACGTAAAACATCAAAGCATAGACCAATTCTTTGACATGAAGTGGTAGTACCTGAAAGCACCAACTACGCGAGAAAGGTTTCTAGAGATCCAAAACATAGCGTACTCGCGGTAGTAGTCAAAGGTATAATTAATACAGATATATATATTATAAAAATTATGCTTTTGGCTACTACCAAATGGATAACAATTCGGCACTATGTGCCTCATCATCGGATGCTTTGGTATATTACCAGATATGATAACAATTCGGCACTACGTGCCTCATCCTCAGGTTACCAGATATGATAACAATTTGGCACTATGTGCCTCATCCTCAGGTTACCAAATAGGATAACAATTCGGCACTACGTGCCTCATCATCGGATTACCAAATAGGATAACAATTCGGCACTACGTGCCTCATCCTCGCGTTTCCAAATAGGATAACGATTCGGCACTACGTGCCTCATCTTTGACGAGGCAAATGCAAAACGTACGTCATTCTAATGACGAGGAAAACGCAAAACACACGTCACAGCTAATAAGTAGGTAACAGTCTAATCATAAGTAGGTAACAGTCTAATCATAAGTAGGTAACAGTCTAACGTAAGTAGGTAACAGTCTAACGTAAGTAGGTCGCAATATATATATATTGCGACCTACTAGTTGCAATCACCACCATTCTTTTAATAACTAAAAACTAAAGTGATGACAAGCAGCAGTGATTGCAGCAACCATCACCATCACTTGTTTAAATAAACTAGAGTGATGATGAGTGACAGTAATCACAACCATCAACACCATTCTTTTGATACTCATGAATTATTTCATCATTGTGGTTAGTTTCTCTTTTTCTTTTATTGTTTCTTCCTGTATTTTATAAAACTTGGATATTTTTTACAAGTATGTGTTAGTTTATCATATAAGTTATTCTTATTAATAAAGTTATTATAATCTAATTTATAAATATTTTGAAAACAAATATTAAATCTAGGATGATTAATTGACAATTAGTCAGGGTTATTTCTAAATATGGAATTTCTAAAAAAAGATGGTTTTATTTTGATCGACAAACGCGTCCTATCATTGTATGGTTGTACAAGGATTTTTGAACATTCACATTTCCTCATCTTTTATAATTCTTTTTTCTAAAAACGCCACGAAAAGAAAAAAGAAGAAAAGATAATGATACTGCAGAAGCAGTTTCTGGGTAAGTGTTTATCATAAGAATGGTTATCGTCACTCTAGTTATATATATAAAATAAAAAATAATTGTTTCATTGAAACAGAAAAATCAAGTTCTAAATGAATAGTTTACGAACATAGGACGAAATAAGAAGTTGGTCAGATATGCCATACTTATTATAGACAAAAATTGGCATCATTATGACTGTTGTTTAATAATAATAATAATAGGGCAACTTTTGGTTGAGTTCTTCTTGACTCAGGAGAATTACTGTTTTTGATACTGGTATTCACTGGACAAATTGATTACTTTACTCTTGATCTTTTAATGTAATAAAATTTAATAATTTTATTTTGGATTAATTAGGTTGGAAATATTATTAATGATCTCAAAAAATCAATATGACATCAAAATTGAAACAACAAATAATTCATTGGGAAAAAAATAAAAAAAGGAATTAGAGATTTTCACAAGTGAGCTTATACGTGATATTAATGACTATGATGAATTAAGCTTTTAAAAAAAAATTTTTTTTGTTTGATCATAATTTGTTATTTACATTTTTGTTTGCCAAAATCATACAACCACAGAATTGAAAGATGCTGATATTCGAGAGACTAGCGAAAGTTCTTTTGATGACCAAGAAAATTTGTTGATTCTTTTAAAATGGAACTGAAAACATCACATCATTACAACTACTAATATAATTAATAGAGCAGAAGAATTTAGTGAAAGTGATAGTAACTATAGTGAGGAAGAAAAGATAACGAGTAAGAAGAAAGTGAAAGTGGTAGTAACATAAGTGAAAATCATGTAATACAGTAGTTGTTGAACACCATGTTGTCGAGGAATTACAAACAATTGATGATGAAGAGGGCGGTGGCGGTGGCGAAAATCAAGATGATATATCTGAAGGTGGACAAAGATACATTACTCATTGGACTACTAAACGGACCAAAGAGTAATCATCAATTCTTTTGAAGTATGTATTTCAAAAAAGAATTAATTGTATCGAGCTTAGAAATGCGATCCGTGGATGATCAATCCGGATATCCGTAAAACAATTCGGATGGACGGATGGCTTTTTAAAAATGCTAACGAATTGCGGATTGAAATTTTAGAAGTTATAGGATTACGGATAATCCGTTTAAATCCGACGGATGTATTTTTTGAGCAATTAACGGATTTTTTAGAGATAAATGACGGATGAACCGATGACGGATATCCACGGATCGCATCTCTAATCGAGCTTCAAACATTAGATATATCACGAAAAAACACTGATATTACTTTAAATGGAAATCTATGAAAAGAAAGATAAATGATCCATTCAATGTTAATTTTTAGGTATTTTTATCATTTACAAATTATTGTTATTATTAATTTTTTATCCATTCATCATCAATAACAATCTTTGAAATCAAAAAAAAAAAAAATTAAATTTCTAAATCGAAATTATATTAATAATTTTTATATATAAGAAATACAATTTCTTTAAAAATTAATGTGTAGAATAATACTTTCCTTTACTGAGATTTATAGTTTGTTAGATAATGTTAATCAAGAAATAATGAAGTTTCATTTTAGTATTATTATTACCCGTTACTTTTAAATCATAATATTGAATACATGAATATGTTAGTAGTACAACGGTGTCAAACAATTTTAGACACTGAAATTCTTGGCAACTATCTGGTTTTGTTGCAGTTTCGATCAGAAAACTATGTGTGACCCTGATTTGAACAAATTTTCTAAATTAGAATGATTTTCTTTTATAGTATAATTTTTATCAATTAAAAAATTACCAGCAAAAAATATTTGCAATAATGTCCTCAATTCCAACTCCTGGAACAAAGAGATTGCAACCCTCTTACTCGGATTCTGAAGAAGATGTTATAGTTAGCAATGATAAGCATCATCAAAAATTTCGAAAAACAGAGCAAGATGAATCAGTAGCTGATTCACGATTTCAAACTTTAAATTTGTTCTCGAAACTTTTATCAAGTTTCCAAGAAAAAGAAGAGAGTTCAACAAGTGATACTGAAATAAATGAAAATCCAGAATCTCCTCCATGTAAGTTGGATACTTTTTTGATAATGGTAAATGTAAATTTTTATATAATGCTATATATATAATAGGGAAAATGGCATCAAATAATAAACGAAAATCAAAAAACATTAAAAAACAACAAAATAGACCAAAGGTATGATTGATTGATATCAATATCATGTTTGTTTGTTTGTTTTTAATTTTTAATTTTTTTTGTTTAAAAATTGATCCAAAGAAAGCTGAAAAAAAGCAAAAATCGAAGCAACCCGAGTTTTTTTTTGTAGGAAGTGTTCTCAAAGTAATAAATTTCAAGGTAATGATAATGTTAATAATATAAACTTTATTTGCTTTACGCTGGTCCTAAATCTCTAAGATTTATAGTAATGTAATGATTTGAATATTGTATAGGATATTCAAAATCTTGCACTAGCATGTATCGCTGATGGAATTTGTCCTCGTTGGATGTTTATCAAGGTTTTTGAATTATTAAATTTCTTCTTGATTTGAATCTCTTTAGTGTAATTAATAATTCATTGATACCTTTTTTAAAAAAAAAAAGAATAAAGAATTAATATCCAAAGTTGTTATATTAATGGTACCTGGATTAACTCCACAATTTTTTGGTATGGATCATGAAACTGCTCGATCTGTTAATGGCCCTATAGATCTTAAAGAGTTATGTCAGAATGATTTATTGGGTGATATTGAATCTATCAACAAAATAAATGATGTCTTCCCAGCATTATCTGATATTTTCTCACATGCTTGTGTCACACGTGCTCCTGGTGACAAAAATAGAATCTATTCTCCTATCGCTTGCATTCTTAATACTTCAATTCCTAATAGCGAAAAAGCAAAACAAAACGATGAAAATATTTCAGGCAAGAATATCTATTATTAAATATGATTATTATTATTTATTATCAAGAGATTTGGAATATTTAATTAATTGGATTACCTTATTAATAAAAATAATATTAGTCGATACAGTTGAAAAATTGAGAAAATGTTTGTTAACGCTTGAACAAATGATCAATAATGGATATCCAATTCCATCTTGTTATAACGATGACAATGGTGTTTCTCCTTCAGAAGGATGGTTTGAAGTAAAATTTGCTGAAAGTTTTAAATTAAATGAAATAGTATTATTTAAAGAAAAAAATGGCGAAACAGTCGAGCCAAAATTAATTGCGATGGATTGTGAAATGGTAATGACATTTAAATTATATATTATTATGTTTGTCATTATGCTTGTTAGTTTATTTGTTAATGGAAACCGCAATTAAAAAAATTTTTTGCGCTACGTAATAAAATTTAATTTAATTAGGTAACTACAACGACTGGTCAAGCACTGGCAAGAATTTCAATTGTAGATGAAGAATCAAAAGTAATTTATGATGAACTAGTAATGCCAAGTAGTCCAGTAACAGATTATTTGACTGCGTAAATATTATATTACTCTTCTACATAATCATCATTACCATTGTTATCATTATCATTATTTTTAATTTTGTCGCATTTTTTTTTTTTAAACAAATCATTTTAGATACAGCGGCATCACGGAGGAATTATTAACAGGAGTAACCACAACTTTATCTGATGTCCAGCAAAAATTATTGGAAATTATAGGCAATAATTCAATTCTAATTGGACATTCACTTGAATGTGATTTGAAAGTTTTAAAAGTATTATATTAAATATCATAATAATTTATATGTTCCAATTGAAAAAAAAAACAATTTATTCTATATAGATAAATTATCACTAAGACCAATCATTTTTGCTAGTTTGCACATCCATATATAATAGATACATCAGTTCTCTATAGTAATGGAGTAGGTTATCCTAAACCGAAATTAAAACATTTGACTCAAAAGTGGCTTAATCGTACGATTCAAGAGATTGCTGGCGATATAGTTGGACATGATCCAATTGAAGACGCTTCAGCATGCATGGGATTGGTGAAGTTGAAGCTTGAGAAAGGTTTTTTATCTTGAATAAATTCTACATATATCTTTTTGTTTTTTGATATCAAAAATTCATTATAAAATTTTTTTTTGTAGGAATGGAATTTGATAAAATCACTGAACCTATATTTCGACGCTTAGCGAGGCTTAATAAACGAAGTGTATTTATAGATGATAAAGCATCTCAGTCTTTTGGTACTGACGCACAAAATATAGTTATTTGCTCTACTGACGAAGAGGTAAATTACAGCGATTTATTTTATTTTGGTTTTTTTTTTAATAATAACAATAATAATAATTGTTCATAATAGGTTGAAGTAGGTCTTGTTAGTACAATTGATGACAGTGACTTTGTTTGGGCGCGTCTTTTAGATTTTGATGTATTTTCTCAAAGCAATAACGAGGAATTAATAAAAAAGGTTTCTGCAATGAACGATCGAATTCGACGTATTTATCATCAATTACCTTCTGGAACTGCTTTTTTTGTGGCTAGCGGTTCAGGTGACAAAACAGATTTATACAAGTAAGCAAATATATATATATTGGTATTGGTATTGATGTTTATTAGTAATTTAAAGTTAAATGGCATTTATTTATTTTTTAAAAAGTATGACTCAAAAAAAGAAATCAAATCCAATTGATTGGTCTTCAGAAGATCAACAAAATCTTGAAAATGCAGTAAACAAAGCAAGAATTGGTCTTGGTTTTTTCAGATTGAAAACATAGTAAAAATAATAAGAAGTAAAGAAAAATTGATATTTTTTTTACTTCACAACAATTTTCCTTTCCATTATATTTCAATCTTTATTTTATATAAATTATTCGTAATAAATAAAACAGTTAAAAGGGCAATTTTCTCTATATATAACCTTCTGCAAAAAACTATCATAAATTCAAGATCGCTCTTTTTTTCTCAAAAGGTGCGGATCTTTATTTCATGAATTATTTCAATTATTATTATTTTATTATAATTGATCATTATTTGTGTTGAAAATTTTTTTTAGAAGATTTAAATTGTAGCGATCAATACTAAATTTGTAATTTTCTATTTATTATTTGTTATATAGAAAAAAATATAAAAAGAATGTAATAAATATATATATTTTAAATAAAAAAAGTTGCTTGAATTTTTAGAAATGAATTGGTTTATCATATGTGGCCATTGCTATAAAAAAAATTTTTTTAGGGAAAATAAAATGAGGAATATTATACATATATATATATTAACGTCAGTATCAATAATAATGATTATGATCACGTACCAGCTTCTTTGAATGCTTCAGATAATGTCTAAAAAAAAATCCCCAAAATAAACTGTAATTAGAATATTAATTTAAATTTTATTCTCTTTTATATATATATATATAGAAATACTAACTGGATGTGCATGGCAAGTTCTAGCTATATCTTCGCTACTTGCACCATATTCCATAGCTAGAACAGCTTCACCTATCATTTCACCAGCATTTGGTCCAATTATATGAATTCCTAACACTAGATCAGTTTCTTCATCAGATATAATCTTAACTACTCCTTCAGAATCGTCATTTGTTCGTGCACGTGAGTTTGCAGCAAATGGAAAGGTACCAACACGATATGGTTTTTTGGTTTCTTTAACTTGTTCTTCAGTTTTACCACACCATGCAACTTCTGGATGTGTATAAATTACTGAAGGTATCACGTCATAATTGACATGTCCAAATCCACCTGCAATAAATTCTGCAGCAGCTATGCCTTAATTAACATAAAAAAAAAAAAAATAAAACCGGATAAGCTTTTGCTTGTTTATTATGGTTTCAAATATCAAACAAATAATGTAATGCTTATAAACCTTCTTCTTCGGCTTTATGAGCTAACATAGCACCATAAGTAACATCACCAATACATAAGATGTGTGAATGATTAGTCTTAAAATGAGAATCGATTTTAATTCTTCCTTTATCATCAACATCAATTCCAACATTTTCTAAACCAAGTTTTTCAGTATAAGGTCGTCTTCCAATTGAAACAAGTACAACATCAGCTTCTAACTTTATTTTTATTAAATAAAAAACTTTTTTTTTAGAAATTATTATCCAAAAAAATTATTATTAATTTTAATATTGAATAAATAATTATGTGAATCAAAGCTACATACTGATTCTTGTGTACCTCCATTGGATGCTTCAACATTTACATAAACTTTGCCATCTTTTTTTGATGCATCTATAACTTTTGTATTTAGTTTAAATTTAAGCCCTTGTTTTTGAAGTATTTTTGAGAATGATTTACTATATAATAACATTTACTGAATTATTTTACATTTTCTCTTATTTCTAAAATACTTATATATATATATATATATATATTAATTATTTAATTTAATCAACATACGCTAATTCACCATCTATTCCTGCACCAATTGAACTAAGATATTCAACAACAGTTACTTCTGCACCAAGACGACTCCATACAGAACCAAGTTCAAGTCCAATAATGCCACCACCAATTACCAACATTTTTTTAGGTACTTTATCTAACAATAGTGCTCCTGTAGACGTTACTATTTGTGTTTCATCAATCTTTATAATTAAAAATTTTTAAGAAAAAAAATATATTATTAATATATAAAATTTATTTTATGATGTATAATAACTTGATTACACACATCTAAACCTTTAAATGGCGTTGCTTCTGATCCAGTAGCAATTATAAAATTTTTTGCTCTAAAAATACTCTCATTTCCATCCAAACCATCAACTTTAATCTCATTCAATCCGATAAAGCGTCCATGACCTTTAATATAAGTAACACCATTTTTTTTGAAAAGTCCTTCAATACCTCTAGTAAGACCGGTGACTGCCTTATCTTTGGCTTTCATCATATTACCAAGATTTAACTTCACATCCAAAACTTGATTATTGTTATTGTTATTATTACTATTATTATCAGTGTTATTATTATAGTTTTGAATTTGTATGAAATGTATATATATATTATTATATGCTAATTTACTACTAATAATATTTCTTATATTAATAAATAGATCAATCAAAAACTAATGACTATGTAATATTCTCATTAACAAAGAATAAGAAAATAATAATCACTTTTTAAAAAAATAATAATATATATACTTTACAACTTACCATCAATTCCTCTAGAGCTTAACTCATGCTTTGTTTGATGAAATATATGCGAATTATTTAACAATGCTTTTGAAGGAATACATCCAACATTTAAACAAGTACCACCAAGAGCACCACGTTTTTCAACACATGCGGTCTATTTAAAAAAAGAAAAAAGAATTCATTAATGTAAAAATCAAAATAAACTTGATTTTCTTTTCTCTTCCTTTTTTTAATATAAACCTTAAGTCCTAATTGTGCAGCTTTTATTGCTGCAACATAACCACCTGGGCCTCCACCAATTATAATAGCGTCATATTCAATATCTTTATAAAACAAAATAAAAAAAACTATCAAGTCGACTTTCTCTAACAATTAAATAAAGAGAAATAACTTGAAATTTACAATCACCTCATACCTGTTGGAGAAACTGAGTAAAAACGACGTCCAAACGATGAAAAAATCGAGGGTGTAACTGTTTTGTTAATATTTTGATGAATTACGATCTATGGGATATATATATATTTATATTTATAAATTAGGTATAAGTCAATTATAGAATAAATTGTATATTGTTAAAGATAGCTATTTTCTTACATTAACAAGGCATGAAGATCTTGATAAATATTTATACATTATTAAAATTTAGAATTCTTTATAATTAAAAAAAAAAAAATTTTTTTTAAATGCTTATCAATTCAAATTGACATATGAAAAAGAAATCTGTACTGGCTAGATTTTCTAGCCACAATCACGTACAGCAGTGGAGTCCTCCCTCCTGAAGCTTCAGTCAACTACAAAAATATGTTCCTTAACACCACGATTCCGGATGTTCGGAACGCCAAAACCGTTGAAGTTTACTAAGTAACCCTTCACATACTCTGCTGTTTCTAAATTCATTAATAATTTTTATTCCCATCTTTTCCTTAATTTCTAAATCATCTGCTTTACTGGTCCAGCGGCATGTCCTTTAGAACTTGATGAAAATGGAGCATGGCTGTGATTATGAAATGAAAAATTAATATACTAAATTAGTATCATAAAGATGAATAATATTTACTCGAATGCTACAACAGTTTTCTCTTCGTTATCGGTGATCCTCCTACACATTTTATCCATCGCCCGGAGCCTTATCCATATAAAAAAGTGTATCGGAGAAATGTTAATTTTTTTAAAAATCAAAATGTCTATCTCTGACAATAGCTTGTATGTATTTATATTATTCATCCAGACTTCTCTTTTTTCTTTTGCCTTCCTAAGCCCTGCCATCTCATTATATTTTCCTGTACTGCATTTAATTACTTTTTCGTTTAAGAAATAAAACGCTTCTTCTGGGGGTCAACACCAACTACTCTCGTCATTATCACGATCATCATCATCCCTTTTCACAGACCTTTGTAGTCGCATACACCATCAGTTTGTAGATAATATATAAATGTCATATTTCTGGTGAAAATTTTCTTATACTGAAGCTTCTACTCCACCAATGATCAATAATTTTCTTTGCAAACTTCTCTAGTTACTAGATCATCATGTTTAATAGAAGCTTATAATTGGTATAATGCTTCAGTAGCAATTATTTTACGTTTATGGCCGAATTCGAATCAACTTTTTAGCTACAATCATCGATTTAATTTCAGGTTTTTATATTCAATGCTCGTCAATTAATTTATTTTAAGAATTTATTTAACTATTTTTTTGCTTACTGCCTCTCTATACAGGAAGCTTCGTCGATCCTTATATCACAATTTACAATAAATAAATAAATGCAAAGGCGACAAAAGTTTTTCTAAAGTTCCTTTTTTATTTACTTTTACTTTTCTTTTGCTAAAAAGCTTAGTTAATGAAATACTTTTCTTTTAACAACCGTAATTATTTTAACACAAAATATAACTTTGGTTAATATACTTTTGCCGATCAGTTTTAACACCTTACATTTAAACTCTTTTACAAAAACGTAAACAGACATTAAACCTTTGCTTCTTTACTAAGTAAAAACCTTACTACACGTAAGCAAGCCTCAGGGTTCTATACCACTCTGATAATAAATGGGCAATTAAACCTTACTGCTTAATCTCCGACCACAAAAGTAGTTTATTAAGCAAATTAGAATTATTTTATTTAGTTTATTTAACATTAAGTTAAGTTTGGATGGAAGGTTGGGGTGTTAGATTTTTGTCGATCATTTTTATAATAATTAACAAATTAGTCGTGTGACATTTCCCTGAGGCTGCTTTTCTATATGTGAAAATAAATTCGAAATTCGTGTCACATGAAGTTTTTTTAAAATATCTCGTTATTTTTATAATAAACTCGAAATTCGTTGTTAGACTAAAATGAAAGTACTCCATTAAAGCTTTCTAATGAATACTTTTTCATACCGAAAGGTCTCCTCTACATGAATTCACGGCTATTCAAAAACGGTATTACTTTTTCACTTCAAACCTCAGATTATTTCTCAATATCGCTTTAAAAGACTTGATAGTAAATGAGAAGGTGTAGAATACTTTAAGCTTTCATATGGTCATTACTTTATGGGGGGTATTGGTTAATAAGTTTTAGAGAGGTTCACGAAAAACTATTTTATAGAAATTTTAATAGTCATGAAGAATTTATGTA